TGAATTTAAGCAATTCCTGATTATTCACATTCAACATTCAGATCATGTAAGAATTGATTTTAAATTGATTTGACTTTACATACATACATATTTTTATTATACCTAATTGAATTTCTTATTTCAGGCTTTTCCTTTTATATATTTATTAATGTCAAATAAATCGGAAAGAGCTTATATACATGCTTTTCAGTATATTAGTGCAAATGTGCTCAATTTGAATCCAGCATCTGTGGTGACAGATTTCGAATTTAGTTTGCGTAAGGATAGTATGATAATTTATGATTAAATGTTAACGTTTATTAGGGTTTCATTGCCTTTAAATAATTTTTTTCCAAATGAAATCGCAAAGTTGAGGAATAAACATTGTGTAAACGCAGAGATTATAAGTTTCCTTTCATTAAATTTACAATAAATAATGGATATAGATTTTGATATTTTTATTAATTTTTTAAATTGTTGGCTTTTAACTGGCGGGGTGATATAACGTAAAAGGTGATAAAGCAAAATTTGCTTCGCTTTAGCAGTTTTGTGGGGACGGCACAGCACGAGGCAGGAAAGCGGGGCATGGCAAACAAACTTATTCGCGGCGGGAGGAGAGGAGAGTAATCACAGACCCGCCAAACTACTATCCTGATATACTCACATTTTTCCCTAAAATATTGAAAGCGAAGTAATGTCACATTTTGTTTTCAGAAAAAAATGGTACAAATAATTGCAAATGGTAATAACGTCACTGCGGCTTTGTTTCTATTTCAATTGGAAATAATGTCCAGTGCCTTTATTTCCATTCCAATTGGAAATAGTCACAATGACGTTATTGCACCCCACCATGGCAACTACTTGTCTGTTATGCTATTATGTAAATGTGTTTATTATTTCATCTTCAGCTATAGGGTATAATATTAATATTCAATTTAAAAAAAAGTTGTTCGGCGTTGCCGTGAACAATCCATTTAGTTTCCCCTAAACAGAGTTTAAAATCACTACAACAACCCAATTATGTACCGATAATTTGATAACTTATTTACCATGCGCTTATTGAATCCAGATGGAGCATTTCGAAATCCCTTTATTGCTTGAAATACGCCACCTCCTATGCAACCCATTGCGAAAGCTCCTCCACAATCATCAACAATCCTAAAGGGACATGGTTCTCTTGCATATTCCTCCATCTGAAAGAAATTTTTTGTTCATTTATTTACAAAATTCATATGTTTCTCAACAATACTCACAATATATCAAATGTACATATATTAGTCACAACACTACTGGGAATCTAATCTACTATAAAATGAACCAATAAAGAGCATTTCGACAGGCAATTTTAGATTGCTAAAAATATATATTTGCTAGCAATATGCCAAAGGAGACAGCACATTGCTAACGTTTACAAATTATCTCTAAGTATATTTCGTTACACGGCATCTCGACAGTCAAAAATTTATGGCATACTATCTTCAAATTTATTGCTATTGCCATTACCAAATCTGTATGTGGGCATTTGCTATCATAACATAATCATTTCCGAAAATGCAATGGGTAGGTAGGCTCGTGCTGATGTAGCGCATGTTTTGAGTAATTGAAAATTTCTTTTTATCATTTGACCTCTCAAACTGTTTAAAGTTTTATATTGTGGGACGAGCCACAATATATTATATTATATTTCAACTTTTAATACAACATGGMAGCACCATGTCAGCAAGTAAGCAAGTCATCTGCGACGGGCTTACAAGCAACACAAACTGTTAGGCTTGAAGACGCCCGAATTACGAAACARTTTTAGACGGCCGGGTCTTTAGAGTGTCAGAATAAATGTGTCTATTTATTTAAAAGATTTTCTTGCTTTTATAGTTTTACAAAAATACTTATCTTCTAATTTACAAAAATTCTTATCTGTGGGTAAATTCCACAGTGCTGCTTATCCTTTATTACTATCATGTGACTGCATTTGCATTTAATATTTATTCATAATCAGTGTTTATTCTCATATCCTAATTTTACATATCTTCTGGTTTTCTTACATAAATGTATCTTCTTATCTACCAGAATATCTTCACACCATCTGTGTTTGCTGTTGTTCTTGGGTTAGTATGGGATGTAACTCGCGCGGTTATTACTATATAGGACTACACATCATACGAGCAACCCTCTTCTTCTGCTGACAGCCATCGCGTGCACATCGAGTAACCACAGCACAATAACCACCACAACTGGTGACCCCGACGTGATCGAAAGTTATACCGCGATTCAACAATATACTTTTAAAATTCGCTAACTATTTCGGCTACAGTGCACCTCGTTTATTAATTAAAACTTCGCACACACTTTTTGATTACAGTGCACTTTGTGTTTTGCTTTTGTGCTCATCTGCGCACGTGGCTGCCCACCCATACAGTCGACTGCAGAACAACAGGAGTTTTCTCGCTAAATTGCTATGCTAGATAGCGCAAACGTGCAAGTAGCACACAGTGTAACGGCACTCCAACGTGTTTCTGTACGATGTCCGCTCTTCAATTCCGAACGACCAGCCTTGTGGTTCGCCCAACTCGAGGGAAAATTTCATCTCGCCGGAATTTTCGATGAAATTACGCAATACCACTACGCTTCCTCACACCTTGACGCCAAGGCCGCCGCAGAAGTGGAAGACCTTCTTTTGAACGTTCCCACAGAAATGTCCTACACTCGCCTAAAAGGGACACTGATCGAACACATTACGCTCTCGCAAGAAGCACGACTACAACAGCTTCTCGATCTAGAGACGTTGGGCGAAAGAAAACCGTCGCAATTTCTACGCCATCTTTGGCAGACAAAATACACGATATTGCACTAACAGCAGAAATTAATTCCCTTCAAGAATCAACAAAAACATCAGCAGTTGAATCACGAATTTCTCGTCTCGAAGCTTCGATTAATGAGCTAGTTTCCAGTTTTAAGCGGCAGAGCATATCTCGTTCCCGTTCTCGTCAGCGCTTTCGTTCGCGCACATCTTCACCAGCATTGAACAACGGCACGTGTTGGTACCAACAAAATTTCTGCAATAACTCACGCGAAACAAAACGCCTTTTCATAACAGATCGCGCCACCAAAATCCAATTCCTGATGGATACTGGCAAAGTGATCTACGATTAATACCTACGGTTGCATAACTCTCTAAACCTTGGCCTCAGACGAAATTTTACATGGCGCTTCGTGGTGGCGGACATAACGAAACCCATTATTGGCCCAGATTTTTTAGCTCATTTCAGCATCTTACCCGACTTCAAGAATAGCTGTCTTATCGACTCGATAACTGGACTAAAAGCCGCATGTAGGTTATCTCCAAAAATCATTTCGGATCGCTTTTAATCAAATACCTGTATCCAAAGAAGATATCGAAAAAACTGCAATTATAACACCGTTTGGTCTTTTCGAATTTCCGTTCATGACGTTCGGACTTCGGAATGCCGCACAAACATTTCAACGATTTATCGACGAGGTAACACGGGGACTAGACGACTTCTTATTCCCATACATAGACGACAGCCTAATCGCTTCCAAAGATGTTACGCAACACCGCAGTCATCTTCGCTTACTTTTCGAACGACTCACTAAGTATGGTGTCGTAATTAACACCGCTAAGAGCCGTTTCGGTCAGTCCGAAGTGGACTTTTTCAGCCAAAGGAATCATAAATCTTCCTGGTAAACCCACGACCTAAAACGATCCGAAAACTGCGTGAGTTTCTCGGGATGATAATTTTCTACCGTAAATTTCTTAAAAACGCTGCTAAGTTGCAGGCACCTCTGCACGAGTACATTCAAGGGACTTCAATAAAAGGTTCTCACCCAGTTCCCTGGACATCAGCAGGGGATGCAACGTTCGTTCAATGCAAAGAAGAGCTACGTAAAGCAACAATATTAGCATACCCGGAGACAACGCTCCTTTGGGCAATATTAACTGATGCCTCAGAATATGCTATCGGCGCCGTCCTCCAACAACGGCGAGGATAACACTGGGAACCATTGGCCTTCTTCTGCCAAAAGCTTCAACCTGCTCTTAGAAAACACTGTCCGTACGACCGTGAACTTCACGCTATCTACGCAGCTTTACGAAATTTTCGTTATAATTTCGAAACACGATACATCACAATATTCACGGATCACAAACCTTTGCTACACGCCTTTTCTCAGGACCCCGATCGAGCGACACCCTGGCAATTCCACCGCCTAGATTTCATCAGCCAGTTTACAACCGATATCCAACATATAGCCGGAAAAGACAACATCGTCGCAGATGCTCTTTCTCGCATCGAAGAAATTTCAATGGCAGTATCTTCAAACGAACTTGCTCAAGCACAAGCTGAGGACGAGGAACTTCAGCAAAGAATACRAAGGGAACAACACGATTCACTAAACTTGCGACCAGTCAACATTCCAGACTGCAATAAGCCAATTTATTGCGACGTTTCGTCCGATATTATTCGTCCATATGTTCCCACCGCGCTGAGGAAGAATATTTTCGACGCTCTCCACAGCATTAGTCATCCCGGAGCACAAGCTTCCGCCAAATTGTTAACACAACGATATGTTTGGCCAAGCATTAACCGCGAATGCCGTTTGTGGGCCCGAACATGCCTAGCTTGCCAACGAAATARGGTATCTCGCCACGTTTTATCACCAATCCAAAACTTTCCAAGCCGCACAAGACTTTTCGAACATATCCACGTGGACATCATTGGTCCATACRTACCTTCAAAGGGGTATCGCTACTGCTTGACAATTATCGATCGTTTGACCAGGTTTCCAGAGGCATTTCCCATTGATAGTATCGACGCCAAATGTGTTGCCCGCACAGTTTGTGCCGGATGGATATGTCGCTACGGTGTACCATTACAAATCACAACGGACCAAGGAACACAGTTTAAGAGCCAACTTTTTAAAATACATAAAAACATATAAATACCACCACTTTCCATCCGCAGTCGAATGGAATGGTGGAACGTCAACACAGCTCATGAGTCGACATGCTACCCATCGTTCTCCTTGGAATTCGTGCCGCTTGGAAGGAAGATCTTAGCGCAACTTCTGCCGATCTCGTTTATGGAGAGCCAATTCGTTTACCAGGTGAATTCCTAGCGGTTTCGCCACGATCTGGTTTGCCACCATCCAACTTGGCATTACGCTTGAGAAATTACTTCGCAGACCTGGCACCACAACCCATTGTCCGACATGGTCAGAGGAAACCATTCATCTTCAAAGGACTATCTACATGTTCACATATTTGTATTCGTCGCGACGCTCACCGAGTCATTTCAAAGCATGAAAAATATTTCATCGTAAACGTCAAAGGCGAAAACACTACAGTTTCGATCGACCGACTAAAGCCTGTGCATTTACTTCCCGACGATAAGCTCAACGAGAGTGAGCAGCATAACGACGATGACAACAACACTACGCTTACTACATCAACTTCACCAGAGTCATCTGAGCCTCGGACATCTCGATTTTCGTCGCCATCATACCGCCCATCTGAATCCGATTCCAACTTATCTACACCGTCACCCAAGAGACGCGTTAGATTCCGCTGATTTTGATAATGTTCTCCAAGAAGGGGAGTACTTGTGGGACGAGCCACAATATATTATATTATATTTCCACGTTTAATACAACATGGCAACACCATGTCAGCAAGTCAGCAAGTCATCTGCGCCTGGCTTACAAACAACGCTGAAATGAATACAACACAAAACGAAACAAGGAATACATAGGTAACAGTTAGGCTTGAAGACGCCCGCGGCTATCACTATATGACTACACATCATACGAGCAACCCTCTTCTTCTGCTGACAGCCATCGCGTGCACATCGAGTAACCACCGACCAATAACCACCACAATATAAATGAAAAAACAAAAAAAAACTTTTTTCTACAAAAATATTTCTTGTAAAAAAAGATTTTATACTTTCCGACTATGATAGTTATAGCATAAATTGTATATACTAATTAGAATAATAAATTTGATATGAGGAATGATATTTTGATTGTATAAGGTTATTAAATTTAAGACTTCGCTCATTCCCAATCGATTTTGCATATTTTTTGTAAATTAACAATATTAAACTAAAAATTAATTTTTTTGAAAACCGTTTAAAAAATCGCTCTACTAAATTTCATATTACCGAAATTAAAATGCCATCGGTATATGTGTAAATGGGATATGTTGCCTCTTCGAAATTTTCATAGAAATGAAACTGGGCTATCACACCGCTGAAGTGACAGCTTTATGTTTTTAATATATGGTTTACTAATAAGTATTCCATATCAGCCGAAAGCCTCCGACGCTAGCGCTGCGTTATCTTTAGTTTATGTAATAATTTCATTGTTATGTAAACTTTTATAAAATGAAAAAAAATAAAAAATAAGTATTCCATATATTGATTTCCATAAGAAATGTGGAGTTTTTGTTGTTTTAACGGTTATCTAATCCCCGTTGGAATGTTGAGGGTTATTTGAGTTGTCGTCGACGTCATCTAACGGGTGAACCAAGAAAATCGCTATTTCGACGGGATCGGACCAAAGGGAAAAGGGTGTTAGATGGGTGGGGTTGGTAGGGCATGCAAAGAGGTGGTCAGTATTATGCGGAGACTCGTTTCATTTCGGACATACGTTGGGTATGTCAGGGTCTATTAGTAGGAGTTTAACCTGCTACAATATCCAGAACAAAGTTGCGCCAGGGTCACTCGCGGCAACTCGACCTCTTCGTCTGCGATAGGTGGTGGTTTGACCCCAAGAATGCCATTCCCGAAAAGGGAGTCGGTGAAGGTGTTGATGGCTCCACTGCGAAAACATCCCAGCAGGAACTGCTTGGAGAGGAGTTCATTATGCTCCTTAACTACGACCATAAGCGTCTCACTATGTAGGTGTTCGATGGAAGACATCAGGAGGCATCCCATCGTGGTCCGGAGTGCTTTATTCTGSCAGCTCTGGAGTTTCCTCTGCGTACTACTGCATCCAGTCGACCATATTGGTGCTGTGTAGTTAAGGACCGGCCGGCCGAATGCCTTGTAAGTTGCCAACAAGACTTCCTTTTCTTTTACCCATGCGCTACCGGCAAGCGACTTGAGGATTTTGTTGCGGCTCTGTACCTTGGCGATAATCGCGGTCGTGTGAGGAGAAAGGAGCATAGAAGGTTACACCTAAAATCTTAGAATTATTGACTGTCGGAATTTTGACGCCATCTGCAATATTAAGTTCCAGTCTATACACCTTCGTCCAGTTCGTAAATATGGTCACTGTGGATTTGGTGGGAGAAAGTGTGAGGTTCCGTGCAGTGAAGAAACGAGAAAGTTCGGTGAGGTAGTTCCTTACCTTCGAACACATGCCATCGATTCCATTGCCCGAGACGTCAATATCGTGCAGTCATCTGCGTACGAGGTTATGGAAACCCCCTCTAGTGATTGCGGGAGTTTCGAGATGTAGAAGTTAAACAGTAACGGCGAGAGGACACCACCCTGCGGAACCCCCTGTTTAATTCTTCTCAGTTTAGATGTTACACGTCGAAATAGTACGGTTGACTGACGACCGTTCAGATAGTTCATGGTCCACCTCTTKAGCCCTGGAGGAAGCGTGGTTTTTTCAATGTCCTGCAGTAGCATTGTGTGGTTGACCCTGTCAAAACCTTTTGACAGGTCTAACGTTACGAGGATCGTTCTCTTACAGGGTATTTTCTGGTTGAGGCCACGAACTACCTGAGCGTTTATGACGCTAAGTGCTGTGGTGGTGCTGTGAAATTTTCGGAATCCTTGCTGGTGGCTGGCTAGACTCAGGTGGTGAATGAAAGTCGGGAGTAGCAATGCCTCAAATGTCTTCACTACTGCGCTTTTTCGAAACCTTCCAATGGTAAAGTGGGTATCTGCACCAATTTTAAGGGTATAAAGGAACAGAAAATGCAAGAAAAAAACTTAAGATTACCCTACTGACCCCTTAATTCATTGAACTATGTTAATGTCTTCGTATTACTCGTATGACTCGTATGCGATATTCGTTGTTGCTAATGCGCAAAGGACCATACATCTTCCGCAAAACCTTTCTAAATCACAAAGACTCCGATTGATACCTATTCGGACACATGGAGCCATGGGCCTTTAACGTGCATCTGCTGTCAGCTAACACGTAATCTGATGTTCCAAGTTTCCTGTCGCAGAACCGGTAATTTATACAAGAAGCTAGGCCCATGTTGTGTAAATACTTCTGCACTAGTAGCAATTTGATTTCATAAGATGAGATCATTTTGAGTGCCACTTGACTATCGCTAAGTATGGTTATACGTTGCTATAGTTGCGTTTGAGGTTTATATCTAGTTCCAGCCCTACTGAAGCCCGCGAATCTTTTGAATCCCAGTCCACCGCCCCATACGTGATTATCGGTCACACGATCATGGTGTACATCCACCTAACGATCCTTGGCAAGGCTCCATAAAAATTGGGATTACACATCACCCTTTGGGCAGCCTCTTGTAGTGTCCAGAAGAATTCTGGTATCCCCTACTGTGATTTCAACTATTTTGGTGTGCAGTACAGCCTCTATCCATCTGCGCACCGTTGCTGTCTCATTCCTTTTCTCCAGTGCTCTGGTTACGCTCTTGTGAAAATTTCTTCGATGTCTAGAAAAGTGCAAAGCATCACTTCCCCTCCCTCCAGCGAATTCTGTATCTCCTTGGTTAGCTGGTGTAGAGTAGTATTTGTTGATGTGCCTGCTTGTAAGCAGCCATATGTCATATGTCCTGCGGACAATGAGTCTCCGCCTGACACTGGCCATCTCTTTGCTTGCCCCGCCAACCCCACTCATCTGACACCCTTTTCCCTTTGGTCCGACCCCCGTCGATACAGCAGGAAACAATTACCTTGCGATCGCCCAATCTATCGGAGAAGGCTTGTGTTCGTCTATTGGTAGCCACTGGTCCTCCCGCAGAAATAACGTAGCTCTTTCTTCCGCGCTGATCGTAAACGACCCGTCGTATATTGGCTGGTCCTCCTTCCCTCCGTCGCCCGCGCTGCTCCTTCAGAAGTTCCTGCGTGGAGTGTAGCTCTCCTCCTTGATCGCACGTCAGGGACTTCCAGCGTCGCAGACTGCTCTGATGACCTCTTCCCTGAGGGAGCTCCTAGAGCACGTTCAGCTTCTCCGACCCCAACGTTTCCGCGGGTAGGTAAGAGGCAGCACAGCCATTTGGTTGCCTTTAAGAGCCACCGCATTTCTGCGCAGTCCCTCCTCCTCCCGGGGCGGTATTTGGTGCAGAGGGTTGGCCTCCGATTACGTTTGTGCTGCTTGCCTTAAGCTTTTTAGAGCTGGGATCCTGTGGCGTAAATTGCCCGCTATCTTTTCGCTACCTCGCTTGGCGGTCGGGGTCGCGCGAGCGAAAATCCTTTTCACGATATGAGTTAAAAAAATAATTATCCCCTGTTTGGTATTGTTGAGATGCGTCGGTGTTTATCAAAGTGTATTATTCCGTTGCCAGATGTTTGATGATGCTTACTGGAAACTTTGTTTACGTGCCTTGTGGTGAAGTCAAAGTCATTAACTCGCGCAAAACAAGCTGAGCATGCACATTTTCAGTTCTTCGCCGCCGCATTAATAGCCGATTATAGTATCTACGAAGAGCTTTCGACATATTATTTTTTTTTTAATTCCGAACCACAAAAAACATGGAAAACGAATTTTTTTTTCAAACCTCCACCATTTCGTAAATTTTTTTTTTCAAAAACGTTTCGTAGAGCGATAACTACACAGATTTCGCATACATTTTCATTTTAGGTCACGGAAGAGATTTATATCCTGCACACGAGGACAATCCATTATTTCATCAGTTTCTACTTTTCTTTTATTACTTATGTTTTGTATTCTTAGAATATTAATAAAAAGCATGTAAACAAATGGATAGTCAAAATAATTTTTTATTTTTTTTTTCAAAAAAAAATACTTAAAATTTGGGCTTCTAAACGAGAATACCCCCTTAATTTTTGCGACCTCGATTTTTTTTATTTAAAAATAAGTAAGTATCATGTTATTTATCAAAAATTTAAATCAAAACATATTAAGTTGTAGACTAAATCATTTGAAAGCTACTAGTTAGTCTTGAGGTCCAAATATAAGAGAATTACGCGCTATGAAAAATTGATATTTTTTAAAATAAATGTATTAATTGGAAGAAAATTAACGTCTTATTTAATAGTGTAACAACAATAAATATAAGATTGTACCTTTGCTTATTTATCTCTGCAGCTTGTTTTATTTTCCCCAGCAATTTCGACAGGCTCGAAGAGGTGGGCTTCACATTTTCACACACTACGCCAGATATGCTTACGTCCAACCATATCTTGCAAAACAAGCTGAGCATGCACATTTTCATTTCTTCGCCGCCGCATTTGAATGAGGGTAATTACTATTCGCACCTATGATGATGAGGGGCAATGGAATCTCTATTCCATCGTGATCGAACTCTCTCACTGCCATTCAGCGGGCTGGAAAAGTATTCCTTCCATAACTTCAGTATGCTCTGAGCGCCACCTTTAAAAAAAAACAATGGTTTCGC